GCTGGGGCTAAGTGCAGTGGTGTCATCATAGCTCACTGCAACCTCAAACCCCTGGGCTCAAGTGATCCTCCCACCTTGGCCTCCCAAAGTGCTAGTATTACAAGCATGAGCCACTCCCGCCAGCCCTTTTGTTTATTTTCATTTTACTTCTCAACTGATATCAAATTGTACATAAAGAATTATCTTAAGGATATAAAGAAAGAATGCATAAAAAAGGTAGGACCAATTGTGCAAGTGTTTTTGTTACATAGATATACTGTATAATGCTGAAGTCAGGGCTTTTAGTGTGCCCACCACGGGACAGTGTTCATTGCCTGTCTTTATTTAGAATTGTGATATATTTTTCATCATGGGTTTGTTGGCATTAATTTTGATTTTTTAAAATATCCATTAAAATTATCTATCTTGATTACCAAGTTTTTGGCAATCTTTTAAATTCTGCACCAAGGTGAGTGCCTCACTTGCCTCACTCTAGTCCCAGCCCTGCCAGGACAGCCTCTCCAGATCCCTGAGCTTCTCCCTGTTTCCTTGGATGTTGTTACTAAGAGTTGAGGAAAAGGGTAGAGTCAAGGTGCTATGCATCCTGCAAGGGAAACTGCGGTGGAGTGAGCATGTGTGAACCTTCAAACAGGGCTAACCATGAAATCTTTCCCATTGTGATTGGGATGTGCTTTATGTCTCCTCCCCACCCCCAGATGGATGTATTTTCATATTTATCTTTCTTATTAATATTAGCTAATTGCTATTATTTCAGTACATATCAGTTTAGTGAGGTGGAAGAAGATAGTGTGAAAGACTAATTAGGGCAGGAAACTAGGCTGATTATGAAAAAATCTGTTGAGAAAATACCAGAGTTAATTTCTTTTCAATGTGCCACATAGATTGATTAAGTGGTTTAATTTTATTCGATCCTCACCTACCTATATGAGGTAGATACTATGATAACCCCATTTTATAGATGAGGAAATTGAAACTGGGAGAAGTTTTAAAACTTGCCTAAGGTCACAAAGCTAGTAAGTGGCAGCCAATTGGGTGTTCAATCCAGGACTGTCATACTCCACAGCTTTAATCATTATGTAAACCAGCCTTCTAGTTGGGAGTTGGCTGGGTTGAGCTAATTACACCTGGAGGTAAGACATAAAGATAGGTGAATTATTACACAGCTGAATGTTAGGAGCTGAGAATCCTGCCCACTCTCTTCATTAGATGGACTCAAAAAGCAAACTCCTTTCATCAAAGGGACCCCAAAATAAATGCTTTGACATCAGCTCAAAATGCCTTCAAACTAAAAAAATAAAAGGCATCATTGACTGTTTTCCCTGAGCACACAGTGTTCTTTATGGGTTGCTACTTGTCCTGATAGAGATTAGCCTAGTTAAAAAGCCACAGCTTTTTGCTCCCACACCCCACGCAGTGTAAATATTTTCAGGCTGGTACCTGCCCATTTTAGCTTTTCCTGTTCAGTCACTTATGTTTCTTATATTTCCTTAAAGGTTATTTTAAAAGTAGACTTTTAAATTAAAGTTTAAGATACATGTAGAAAATTGTACACATCTTAAATGTACAACTTGATAAATTTTCACAAAATGAACTCACACATGCAATCCACACCCAGATCAGGAAATAGAACATTACCAGCCCCTCAAAAGCCCCTCTTCAGTGCCTTTTAATCACTATCCACCAACATAACTACTATTCTGATATGTATCACCATGGACTAGTTTTTCCTGCTTTTGAATTTTATATACATTGAATCAGATACTAGACACTCCTTTTCTCTTTTGCTCAACATTTGTGAGAGTCTTCCAGGTTGTTGCATGTTGCAAATGTTCATTCATTCTTGTTGCTATATGGAATGCCATTGTATGAATATACCCCACCTTATCCATTCTATTTTCTGGTTTTTTTTTTTGAGACAGTCATGTCCAGGCTAGAGTGCAGTGACATGATCATAGCTCATTGCAACCTTCAACTCCTGGGCTCAAGTAATCCTTCTACCTCAGTCTACTGAGTAGCTGGGACTACAGGTGTGCACCACCATGCCCAGCTAATTTTTTTTATTTTTAGTAGAGATGGGGTCTCGCTTTTGCTCAGGCTGGTCTCCAAATCCTGACCTCAAGTGATTCTCCTGCCTTGGCCTCTCGGAGTGCTAGGATTATAGGTGTGATCCACCGAGCCTGGCCCTACTTTTATAGTTGGACATTTGGGTTATTTCCAACTTTTGGCTACCATGAATAGTGCTATTATGTCCTTATGGACTTTTAATTTTTTTTCAGTCAACTCTTAGAATGTGCATGTCATAGTATCATGCTGTAATCAAAGCATGCTTGCAAAAAGGTCATGTCATGCCCAGTCCTCTGGCTCTACCTTTCAATGTACTGCATAAAATCACTCAACTACTCTTAGGCAGTATGTGTGGGTGTGTGTATATGTATAGTTTTATTGTTCTTTACAACCTTGGATCACATTATATATGCAATTCCTTATTCTGCTGATTTCATATAACTTTATATTGTGAGCATTTTCCCAAATTATGAAAATTCCTGGAAAATATAATTTTTAATGGAGATGTACCATTCTGTTTTATGCTATGTTGTAATTTATTTAACTAATCCCCTAATCTTGGACATTCAGATTATTGCCAGTGCTTTTCAATACAAATAATGCTGTGAATAAACTACCTTGGATGTAAATTTTTGTCTTTTACACCTCTGCTTCAAATTGTACTGAAAAGTCTCGGTAAGGTTAGTGTAGGATTGTGTGTAGTTTAGGGCAGCAGAGCACTGTATACCTTTCTTGGGACATAATCTGGCTTTATTCCAATAGTATCTTTACGTTGGAAATGAGAGCATACAGTTTCCTACTTGCCTGGGTCTTCTGGATGCAGCTTGCCCAGCTGAGCCACTGCATCTTTGCCCTCAAGAAATGAACAGATCAGAGTGACCAACTCTTCTAATTCTTAGAATTCCAGAATTTACCTCTCAGTTTTATTGTGGTTTACATTGTGGAGCAGGGCAGTGAGGAGAATGGCTTCCCCCTACAAGAACAACCAGGCAGGAGCAGGGACCATGTACGAATGGGAGCATGGAGGGAAAGGCAGGGGGTGGAGGGGCTGCAGATCCATGATCTGCCCCCTGTTTTGGGTCTGTATTTTGCTTGGCAGTGAGGCCCAGATATCACTTGGTAACTGCTAATTCCAGCACCCCTCCATCTGTGCTGCAGAGTCCATACTCTCCAGCTTTCTCAGGAATCTAATTCCACCTATTATGCAATCATTCATTCAACAAATATTTACTGTGCACCTAGTGTGAGCCAGATACAGCTGTGGACACTGGGGATATACATAAGTGAAGAAAACAAAGTCACTGCCCTCATGGAGCACACGGGGGGGGGGCAGGGGCAGAAAATAAATACATGAGCAAACATACATGTAACATATTAGGTCGTAACTGTTATAAAGAAAAATAAGGCACAGCATAAGGGATAGAGAGGGCCACCTTTAACCCACAAACATGTCCACATCTTTCCTGTTAAAATAAAATTCCATTTCATCTTGTAACCACAGGTCACTTGTCCTTCCTTCGCAGCAGGTCTCCTTATAGAAGACTCCTGTATTTGCATTCTTCGCTTCCTCACCTCCCAATCACTGAACAAGCTGTAGCCTCAAACCCAACAGGTCCAACTCTGAATTCATTTCCTCCTGGGCCCTGCTCTTGCTCCACTGATCCCTACCCAGTAGGCAGAGTCATGTTTTAGTCCTTTCTCTTCCCCCACATCCAATCAATCACAAAGACCTTCTCAGTATACCTCCTAAATAGCTTTATATATTTGCCTTTAATAGTTTGTTAAGGCTGTCATAACAAAGTACCATAAAACTCGTGGATTAAACCACAGAAATCTATTGTCTCATAGTTCTGGAGGCTAGCAGTCAAGGTGTTGGCAGAGTTGGTTCCCTCTGGGAGCTGGGAAGGAAGAATCTGTTCCAGGCCTGTCTCCTTGGATTCTAGATGGCCATCTTCATGTTCACAGGGTGTTCCCTGGTCTTCTCCCTATATCTTCACGTTGTCTTCCTTCTGTATGTATCTCTGTGTCCAAATTTCCCCTTTTACAAAGGACACCAGTCTTATTGGCTTGGGACCCACCTTAATGACCTCACTTTAATTTGATTACCTCTGTAAAGACCCTATCTTCAAATGAGGTTACATTCTGAGGTTCTGGGGTTAGGACTTCAACATGAATTTTGGAAATCAGGAAACATTCAACCCACAACACTGCCTCTGTTCAAACCTTCAGTTTTCTTACCTATGTCATTTCTTCGGTCTCCTTAGGAGTGTCCCTACTTCCAGCATTGTCTTGTTTCAACCTAGCCACCACCCTGCTGCCAGGAGATCACATAAAACCCGCTGTGACTGTTGGGATAAACCAAGCCCTTTGCTGTGCCTACTAGGTCCTTTGTGTTCTGGCCTCTGCCATCCTTCCCAATCTTGTTTTCTGCTGCTCACATAGCATTGCTGCAGCCATCATGACCCTGTGCCATGCCTGCCCTGCCTTTGAGCTTGGCTATGTGCGGTTCCTCCTGCCTGTGATGGCTTCTTTTCCTACTGTCCCTGGTTAAATAACTCATATGGGTTCTCCAGGCCAGCTCCAGCATTATCTCCTCTGAAAAACCTTCCCTAAGCCTGGGTTTTGTGCCTCTTCTCCATGACCTGGGGCCTCTGCCATTCTCCTGTAAATAAATAATTCTATTTATTTTCAAGTTTAGCCTACTTACAAGATCCAGATCACTAGGACCTCTAGTACAACACCTCAAGTATCATAGGCACTCAATACACATTTGCTGAAAAAATGAATGATGAATCTGCATTTAGACAATTGTAGTGTCAGAGTGAGTAAGTAAGTTCTGGTAATAGGGAAACTTTGGAAGGGAGAGGCAAAATAAAGGGTGTGGAATCAGACTCGGTATATATAATCATTCTCACCCGAGGAGAAATACTGCATTTCAGCTGCCGTCACTGCTCTGAGGACAGTTCTGCTACTCCACCAACTCTTTCTTTGCCTAGTAACATGGCCAACAAGAAAGTAATTGCAGTGTTTGGAGCAACAGGTAAAAAAGTCTTTACTTTTTAAGTGCACACTGACTTTGCTCACTCTCCTATCCTCCTGTTTCTAGCTTCAGAGCCTGCAAGTGTGGGCTGAACAAAGCATCCTTCAGAGGATATTAAGAAAGATGTCCTATTGCTTCAGTTTTTGATGTGGTAAAGGGGCGGGGTGATTTGACTTGATTTGCCAAAAAATGACCTTCAGGCTTATTTTGGGAATCCAAAAGTCATATAAGAAATTTTGAAATTGGTGTTTTCCTTTTGGAAAACTGGAGCAAGAACAACTCTTTCTGTCATGGGGCTAATTGCTGGTTTCAGTTTCATTTCAGCACAGGCTTTGGAGTCTTTTCTCCATGCACTTCACGATAAGCAAAAAGAGCAAATGCGAGAGGCCTGTGGGTTTGTAGATGTAGCCAATGCCTGACCAACCCTCCAGCGGTTTTGAAAGGATGGCGTGGGAGTTAGCAGGATGCTTCTTTCACCTGGATGGCTGCCTGAGCCTTTTAACCAGGCTCCCTGATTCTCTTCTAGCCTCCCTCACCGTCTGTCCCTCAACAGCCATAGCCGGCTTTGCATAATGTGAATCAAGTCAGGTCATTCTCTTTCAATCTGTTCTCTTTTGACACTGTCGGATCATGTCAGCACTCTGCTCAAAACCCTCCAGTACCTCCCTGCCCCATCTTATGCCAAGTAAAATGCGAAGTCCTGCTACAGGGCTGCAAGACCCTCACCAGACTTTGCCTCCTACCTCCCTCCCCTCACTGCTCCAGCTGCCCTGGCTGCTGTGCCGTTCCTCTCACCCCAGAGCCTTTGCAACGGCTCTCTCAGCCTAGACTCCCCCGGTTACTACACTGCTTTCCCTCTCACGTCATTCAGGTCTCTACTCAGGTGTCACCTTCTCCATGAGAACTTTCCAGGCCTCCCTATTTAATATTGGAACTCTGCTTCCACTCTGCCCTTGTCTGGCTCCCTTCCTGCTTGATTTCTTCCAGTACTGCCTGTCTCTTCATACTAGAATATAAGCTCTATGAGGACAGGGATTTTGCCTGGAGGAAGGCAAGGGCTAAAGCAGGGAGCAGATTGAAATAAATTGTCAAAAACCAACAGCCAAGTGTGTTACTGATCTTAAAAGGAAAAGAAAAGGCAATGAGGTAGGGGGATGACTGTGTTAGGTATTAGGGTGATGATAGGATGTTGATCTTTCCTGAAAGAGATAAGTCATTGGAGGGTTTTGCTTGTTTTTGTTTTTAAGAGACAGGGTCTTACTGTGTTACCCAGGCTGGGGTGCAATGACTATTCATGGGAGTAATCATAGCTCACTGCAACCTCAAACTCCTGGGCTCAAGCAATCCTCCTGCCTCAGCCTCCCGAGTAGCTAGGACTACAAACACATGCTACCACACTCAGCATTGAAGGGTTTTGAGCAAAAGAATGACATGGGTGTTGAAAGGATCATTTTCTGCTTTGTGAAGAGACTGCAGGGAGCAAGGGCTGAAGCAAGGAGACTTGTTAGGAGGCTGTTGTCATAAACCAGGCAAGATGATAGTGGCCTAGCCCAGGGTGGTAGCAGTTGAGGTGGTGGGGAGTGGTCAGACTCTGGGTAGGCTTTAAAGGTAGAGTTGGCAAGATTTGATGATGGACCAGATGTCAGGGATAAGAAGGGAGGAGTTGAGAATGACTTCGGTGTTTTCTGCCTTGAGCAACTGGAAGAATAAAGTTGAGATTCATGAAATGTGGGAGACAGTGGGCAGGAGCAGATTAAGAAAGATCAGGAGCTCTGTTTTAGTCTCCTCGAAACTGAGTTACCAACTAGGCATCCAGGGAGGGGGTAGGCAATTGGAGAAGATCCTTGGGAGGGGCTCCTAAAGGAATCGGGTTCAATGTGTCAGAGCTGAAGAAGTTTGATTCCTGGTTAGCTTAGGTGGTGGGCTGATTACCTTATTATCCAATTCTTGCCTTTAGTTCAGTAACCTTAAGAGAACTGGATATGTTTGGGTGTTTAAGGTATAGTTGCCAGATTTAGCAGATAAAAATACAAGATGCCCAGTTAAAGTAGAATTTCATATAAACAACAAATAATTTTTTTTTTTTTTTGAGACAGTGTCTCACTGTGTTGCCCAGGCTAGAGTGCCGTGGCGTCATTCTAGCTCACAGCAACCTCAAACTCCTGGCTCAAGCGATCCTCCTGCCTCAGCCTCCTGAGTAGCTGGGACTACAGGCATGCGCCACTGTGCCCAGCTAGTTTTTTCTGTATATTTTTAGTTGTCCAATTAATTTCTTTCTATTTTTAGTAGAGACGGGGTCTCGCTCTTGCTCAGGCTGGTTTCGAACTCCTGAGCTCAAACAATCCGCCCGCCTCGGCCTCCCAGAGAGCTAGGATTACAGGCGTGAGCCACCGCGCCCGGCCGAAATAATTTTTTTTTAGTTTAAGTGTTTCCCAAATATTGCATGGGACACATTTATATTATTTATTTATTTTTTTGCTGTTTGAAATTCAAACTTAACTGGGTGTTCTGTATTTTACCTGCCAATCTTAGTATAAGGCCCTTCTGTGCCAAGTTTAGGAGTGGCAACGTCTGGGAGCAGTGGCTGCTGCCATTGCTGATGTCTGGAAGATTAAAAACTCCCAGAGCCCTGGTGCAGGCTTAGGAAGTCTGTGTCCTGTGCATGTTCCTAGCCCAGGCCCCTGCACAAACCTATAAGCCACACTGGGAAAATAAGAGTATCTTCAAGGTGCTAGGGCCGGTGCTACTTGCTTTGCACACATTACATCCCCATGAGAGGAGGACAGGTGTTGCCAGCCTCACCTTACAGAAGAGGACAAGTTTGTCGAAGGTCATGCTGCTAGTAAGGGGCAGAACTGCTTGGGAGAGAAGACAATGGGCTTCCAGGTCAAACAGGGCTGGTTTGCTCATCTCTGCCACTCACTAGCTGTGTTACCTTAGGCAGGTTACTTAATTTCTCTGAGCCTTAATTTCCTATTTATGAATTGGAAATCATAACGCTGTCTCAAAGGGTTATTGTGAGAATTGAGATAATGTATGTAAAGTGTCTTGTCCAATGCCCAATATTTGGTAAGAACTCTGAAATAAAAACAAACTTGGAATAGATTCATCTCTAAAACATATATTTGAGGAACTAATACCTTTCCGTGATCTTTGAAGACAATGAAATGGAAATAACATCTAGGAAGTAAAATTGAAGAACCCATTCTATGCACATAGAGCCTCTACACCAGACCCTGGAAATTACGCAGAGGAGAAAATAATAAAATAAAGAAAAAAAATTAAAAATGAAAGAAGAAGAAGAAAAAGTCATCTGTCAGGAGGAGGGGGTGACATCAGAGTTGCAAGGACACTGAGCTGGGGGAAGCCGGGGAAGCTGGTTGGCTGCTCTCTCTTACCTGAGCACCCACTTCACATACTTCCCACTGAAGGAGGGCATAGACATCCTCGCCAGACTTGGGACTCGTGTTAACCCTCACCCGTCAGAGTTTGCTTGCACATCAAACCCTGAAGTACCTTCAGTGCCTGCCAACCAAGTGCTACCCTCAACGTGGGAGTTAAATTTTTGAGATCTTGAGTGTCTGTCTGAAAATGTCTTTACGTAGAAATTTTAGGATTGATTGATTATTTGCTGGGTTTAGATTTCTAGACAACAATTTCCCTCTAAATGGCATCATACCATTGCTTCCAATGTTAGAACAAGTCTGATGCTAATGGGAAGCTCCGGTGGCTCTTGCTCATGCACACATGGTTGGGAGGGGAGTGCATGCCATGTGTGTGCCCTGTCCCTCCTCCACCACAGCCGCCTTCTGGCTCTCCTGGTGGTGCTGCTGGTGTGCTCCTTTGGTGAGGATCTCATACCCCTTTTGTGAAGCAGCAATTGATGAGACTCCAGAGCTCATCAACTGCTCATGGCCCAGGAAAAGCCTAAAGAAGGAGTCAAGACTGAGAATAGCACTCATTTAATGTTAAGAGTCATACATCACTTAGTAAACTAATGAAAGCCTATTGTGAATGACAGCGTTTGTCAATGCAGCAGATCAGATTCCAATTTGAAGGGGAGCCAATCGATTAAATGGATAATACTATCACAGTTGGAAATGGAGGATGAAGATATAACTGATGAGTTCTAGCAGGAGACAGGAGGTGTCTGCTAAAAAGGAAACCTGCTACTTTACTGCAGAAATCTGTTCCTACAGATCAAGAATACATTCTCAATTAGAAAACCACAATGTGGTTCTACCACATTCTGACTACCGCAGTATAGTTTTCTCTATTCTTTCATTTTCCCCTTCCCCATTCCTTTCATGTACATAAAGTAACTGGCATACTGCGCAAGCATATTGCTTTTTTGTTGTTGTTGTTTGCTTTTCTACTAAGTGGCCAATGGTATGTGTTAAATAAAATTTGCAGGAGGCTGTTATTCCGACTGAGCTCCCGCACTGGCCTCCACAGAGCAATCCAATGTTGAGCTTAATCACAGTAGGTGGAGCTGTAGTTAATTGTAAGAGGCTCTGTAACCAATTAATCAAATAAGCTGTAACTGACTAACTTGTCAGTATACCTTACTTCCATTTTCTGTAAATGCTATCAGATCATGTTATTAGCTGGAGTTTTCTGAAGCCATTTTGGTTCTGAGAGCCGCCCAATTTGTGAATCTTTTTTTCCCTAGTGATTTACCATTTATAAATCTTTCACATACATTCTCATTTGACCCTCACAGCAAACCTGAGAGGTAGGCAGCACAGATATTCCTTTCATTTAAAAGATGAAGAAAGTGAATCTCAGAGCAGTTAACTGATATGCCTACGGTTCTACAGTTGGTGAATAACTTGTATCAATCTTCGGCCTAAAAATTCAGCACCCAAACTCCCCTCATGCTTGCCCTGCCTACTTCGCAAGGATAATGAAGATAAAACGAATTTGAGGCTAGAAAAATACTTTGAGGAAAAAAGCCCTCTATGATTATTCCCACAAACTATGATTTTCCATGATATGTAGCTCATTCCGTTTCTCCTTCCAGCTTGTGCGGGAACCAAGAATTTCATATTGCCTCTGTTCTGTGCTAACTAAGCAACTAAGTAAGGCAGGGAAACAGTGTGATCCTGTTTAAAGTTATATAAATTACAATTGAAGTAACTACTATTATTAAGCAAATTGAAAAACAGCACAGAAAGGTTAATGTACAGCTAGGACCCACTAAAGCACAAAGCAAAGCAAGGCAAGATTTTCAAGCAGGGCATGATTGCATGGAAGGAAAACGTGGTATCAAAGTCCAAACTGGCGCACACAGGTATCTAAGGCAAAGTGGTGGCAAAGAATCAATTGTTCTGCATTATGTAAACAAGAGCAGAAGGTTCATGGGAACACGTACAAAAGCATCTTCTGTCACACAGATCTCTCCAGCTGCCTACAGGGAATATCAACAAGTGTCATCTTCATTTTAAAGAATGACTGTACTTGTGCTCATATCTTAAACTACATCTAGGAGTAGCTCCATGCTAAACTTCCTTGGCTAAAATACAACCAGTACCATCATTCCTAATCAGACTAATAAACGATATTTTTTTAAGGTAACGAATTCAATGGCTGTGTTTAGATTTTTTTCCAGGATTTACTTTGGATTCTCCTGCTTTAAGACCCCAAGAAAGTTATATTGAGTTTTTACTGATGATTCTAAATATATGTTTATAACAGTATATTAAAAGAATTCTATAGCATCAGTTCAGAAAAGATTATATGTAGTATGTATCGTCATTCATTTTGCATTGCTATAAAGGAATATCTGAGACTGGGTAGCTTATAAGGAAAAGAGGTTTATTTGGCTGTACAAGAAGCATGGTGCCAGCATCTGCTTCTGCTGAGCCCTGCTTCAGGGAGCCCTCACCAGAGCAGATGGAAGCTGGAAGGTGAAGGGGAGCAGGCATGTCACATGGCAAGAGAAGGAGCAAGAGAGAGCCCACGCTCTTTTAAACAACTAGTTCTAGCTTGAACTAAGAGAGTGAGAACTCGCTCATTCCCATGCTGAGGGCACCAAGCCATTCATGAGGGGTCCACCCCCATGACCCAAACGCCTCCCACCAGGCCCCACCTCCGACACAGGGGATCGAATTTCAACATGAGCTTTGGAGGGAGCAAATATCCAAACTATATTACTACACAAACTATTCAAGTCATACAAAATCATTTTTCAGTGTCTTTTCAACTGAGCAGAATCTATTCAGCACACTTCTCCTGAGGTGGTTCATACTGAACAAGCTTTGCTTTCAGTTTTTTATTTTCTTCTACAATAGCTTCATATTTTTCCTTCATTTCTGCCACTTCTTAGGCAAGCAGCTCTATTTCTGGATTTTCTGGGGTAGCGGCTCCTAAGTGATGCTTTAAAAAAATCTAAAGTGCTGTTTCCCCTTGGAGTCAAACATCTTGTTAAAATAAACTTCTTGTTTAAAACAACAATGAAATAGCTCGTGCTATTTTTATCCTGTGTCTTCGAATTGACACCCCCACCACCAAGACATTAAGATCTCTTTATCCCCAGTGTCTTAGTCCATTTGTGTTGCTGTGAAGGAATACCTGAGGCTGGGCAATTTATACAGAAAAAAGGTTTATTTGGCTCATGATTCTGAGGGCTGGAAAGTTCCAGATTGGGCAAGTGCATCTGGTGAGGGCCTTAGGCATAAGGTGAAGGGGAGCCTGTGTGTACAGAGGTCACAGAGAGAGAAAGTGGGAAGGCACCAGCCTCTTTCTAACAACCAGTTCTCCCGTGGAAACTAGTAGAGTGAAAACTCACTGCTGAGGGAGGGTATTAATCTATTCCTGACTGATCTGCCCCCACGACCCAGACACCTTCCATTGGGCCCCACCTCCAACACTGGGGACCAAATTTCAACATGAGGTTGGGAGGGGACAAACATGCAAACCATAGCACCCAGTGTTCTGAAATATCACAGTGATATGCATCATGTGGGACTTTATTTATCATTGTGTTGGGCACTCAGTGATCTCTCAATATGGAAGCTAAGTCGATACCTTTGGACTCTGAGAAATTATTACCTTTTTTGATCATTTTAATACCTTCATTTTCTCTGTTATCTCATTCTGGAATTCCTCTGGCTTGATCTTCTAATTATTTTCTCTCCTCTATTTTCCATTTTTTCCCCCTTTTAATTCTGGGAGATTTCTCCAGCTTTTTCTACTGAAATTTTATTTCTGCTATAATAAATTTCTGACAGCTTCTTCTTGTCTTCTGAATGCTCTCTCTCTCTGTTTTTCCTGTTTCCTCCTCCTATCGTCTTTTTTTGGGCAGACGTAGTGTTTGGAATGCAGTGTCTTCTCCAATCTTGGAGAATATGAATTCTTTCCAATTTTGTTCTTCAGTTTCCTGCACTGTTTCTGTTTCTGTTTTTATCAGTTTGTTTATTTTGGTTTTGCCCCTCATGTTGGAGGCTTTCTTCAACATCTGACGAACTTTGGCTATGTGTTCATGTTTACTACTAGACAGTTTACCATGAAACACTGATTGAGCTCTGTGTACAAAGGCAGACTTCATTGAATGGTAGACCATACTATGGGATTATGAGTGGTGTATCAGCAGGAGTCCCACAAGAAACAGATGCCACACTCCTTCTGAGAAGCTGAGAAAAATTTAGTAAAGGTGGGCAAGGAAGAGAGCAATAAAGAATACGTAAGCAATAGGAGGAAGGAAAAAAGGGCAAGAGAGCTGACCAGAACCTGGGGAGAGTAGTGATGTGACCAGGGTCACCTCTCCTGCCCTTGGATCTCCTGCCTCGCATTGCCGAGACCCAGTCTGAGCTCAAGAGAGCCCACGGATGGATTCCATAAAGGTCAGCCTCCCAGGGCACTACGCAGGATGGAGAAAGTGAACGTGGATCTGGAAGCATAAAAATGTATCCGGCACAGGTATCTGGCCAATCTGATGGAGGAACGCAAATGTCAGTAACCCAGCGCAGCACCTGACCTGTGTCATAGGGCATGCCATGAATATTTGCAGAGTAAATAAATCAGGCAAGTATTGATTATACCATGATTGGCCCTGAATGCCATAAAAAACTTCTGAAAGTTTTCAAACTTTTTAAAAAAATATGGACTAGAAACCTCTTTTGAAAATAAATTGTATGAATAACCCCACTATAAGATCTATAACCAGATAAAAGTAGGATTGTCCTTGTTGAATCTGGGCTGGCACTCCTAATTCTGTCACTCTGCTTACTAGGCCATCTTGTTGCCTCAAGCCTCTCCTACTCCTCTTTTCCCACGTCTTCTGCAAGGCATCTCTGAAGAAGCTGCGAGGAACATGGTTTGAAAGCCATGGGATATCTAAAGTACCATGTAGCACCTCCTGAAGTAGGAACTACAGCAGCTCTACTCTGAGCAATGGGACTTCCTGACCAACTTCTTTTAATGAACATTCTTCCTGATTCTTCCTGTGTTTCTTCTTCCCTTGACCCTGCAGGTGCTCAAGGTGGCTCTGTGGCCAGGGCCATTTTGGAGAGCAAAAAGTTCGCAGTGAAAGCACTGACCAGGGATGTGACGCAACCAAATGCACTGGCGCTCCGGGACCTGGGTGCCGAGGTGGTAAAAGGGGACCTGAATGATGAAACATCTGTGGAGGCTGCCTTAAAAGGTGCCTATGGGGCCTTCCTGGTTACCAACTTCTGGGACGACCTCAGCACAGAGAAGGAAGTGTGTCAGGTAGAAACCAAACTATTTCTTCTTTCCCCTTTGAGCCCTTTCCTCTTACTCTTCCTACCTAATTCTGTCCTCTCTGGAGGGCTGCAGGCCTTCAGTCTGGGCAAAACCAGAAGTCTCACTCCACAACATCCCTCTGGCTTTTATGAACTATATGTACTTTAGGTACTTGTTAAGGTGTCTCTGATTGTGAAATTAACATTATGTGGCACTTGTCCAGATCTCAAGACCTTGCAATTCGAGAGTGACTGTTTAATGAAGCCAGTCATTAGAGTCTCCACTCCTCACCATTTGTTTGTAGATGGCATATAGGAGTGGCAGCAAGGATACCCCAAAAGTTGAGGCTACCCTGAGAGTGAAACGGGGAGAATACAAATGTAATGAGTATATTTATATTTCGGACAGAGACTTTGGGGATGAATTAGTAATGGGTACATAGAAAAAGAAATAAGCAAATAAATCCACAATGAATTATTAATTCCAGGGAAAATGAAAGTTTGTAGAAAAAGTAAATGTAACCATAGAGTATCACGTGGCTCAGTTTCACCTGTGTGTAAGCACTGAATGTTGCTGTAGCCAAAACTATAATATTGGGGCTGGTATGGTGGCTCACGCCTGTAATCCTAGCACTTTGGGAGGCAGGAGGCTCTCTTGAGGCCAGGAGTTCGAGACCAGCCTGAGCAACATAGTGAGACCCCATCTCTACAAAAAATAAAAAATTAGCCGGGCATAGTGTGCACTTGTGGACCCAGCAACTTGGGAGGCTGAGGCAGGAGGACCACTTGAGCCCAGGAGTTTGAGGCTACAGTGAGCTATGATGATACCAATGCACTCTAGCCCATGCAACAGAGGGACACACTGTCTCAAAAAAATAAAAACAAAACAAAATGAAAAAACCTATAATGTTGAAGGAATAAAATAAGGGAATTGTGTATATGTAATATGGTGGTGGCGGTGGTAGACTCTGCATGTGTGTGTGTGAGAGAGAGAGAGAATGAGAATGAGATAATTAAATCCTCATCTTTTATTTAGTAGGAATTTGGTAGATGATATTTCAAATTGAAAAAAAATCAAGGATTTGTACTACAAACATGTTGTCTTTTAAATAAACAGCTAAATGAGATTAAAGAGCAGTAATTGGCATGGGGGATATAGGGAACTTGTTTTTCATTATAAGATCTACTTTTCCCCTTGACAGTACTATTTGACAATTGAAACTATGTATATGTATAAATTTGGGAAAAAATGAAGATTAGATTTTTAAAATGTAATGGATGAGAACAGCCACTTGCAGAAATTGCACAATTCAAAAAATTAAGAGCAGGATTGAACTGTTACAGGAATGTCTATTGAATTAATTATACCCATTTACAGCCTGTCTTTTAGTGATAAACCCTGAAAGGGCTTATTTTAGGAGCTCTGAATTCTAATTCTGACATTCATTCACTATGGATACAAGTCACCTCTCTGTTTCACTTACTGCATCTGCTAAACCAGATTAATTATGTCTTCTTTGCCTACTGCTTGAAGTTTTGTAAAGAAAAGTAAGAAACGGTGAAGAGAAATAAAGGAAAAACAGAGACAGAGAGATTAAGGTGCTTTGGAAAATTTGTAACTAAAAACACAAAACAGAGAAAATATGTATTTGTGTATTTTCATGTGTGTATATCCATCCATTATGCCCTCAATATCCAAATGGTGTACAGATGTAGTCCATTACCAGAAAAAAAATGATATATAATATAAGTGTGATCGTAGGTGATCGCAAAGATACTGAGAGCCCAGAGGAAGGGGCCAACTGTTCCTTGACAGTTCCCACTGGGTTGCCTCTCAGCTTCAGATGGGTTCCTGGGATTCCTTTCTCCTCTGCTCCCCTCCCCAATCTCGTATTCTACTACTCCCTGCAAGCCAGTGTGCCGCGTCTTACAGCAGAGGGCTCAGCATTTTGGGGAGGAGCCTCTGCTCACTAATGCTGGTGGCCTGTCAGTACTTGCATATATTTCGATGGTGGAGGCGCTTCCTCCCACAGGGATGAGGACACTAAGAAAAGGAGCGGGTGGAGAGGACCCAGCACCTACCTTTTAGTCCGTACGCAAACACAGCACTCTGTATAAAGGATCTCCTTTTGTCCCCCAGGGGAAGATGGTGGCACAGGTGGCCAAGCGCCTGGGCCTGAAGCACGTGGTGTACAGCGGCCTGGAGAACGTGAAGCGGCTGACGGGCGGCAAGCTGCAGGTGCCGCACTTCGACGGCAAGGGCGAGGTGGAGGAGTACTTCTGGTCCACGGGCGTTCCCATGACCAGCGTCCGCGTGGCAGCCTACTTCGAAAACTTTCTCACGGCGTGGAAGCCCGCGAAGGCCCCTGATGGCGATTACTACACTTTGGGTAAACGGAAGGCTGCAGCGGAAGTTAACTAAGCACCAGGCTGCCCTCCCCTCCCGCCTGTTCCCTCTTCAGTGGACACGTACCATTCGCGTGCCTACTATGTGTGTGGCTCTGTGTGAAGTGCTGGGAGGGATGCCAGATGGTCCTAGAGACTTCTCAGGCAGTTACTCTTCCAGGGCAGAGAACTGGCTAGGGACAGGAAGCACAAAGGCTTATATTTCCAGTCTCAACATTTCTACCCTCCTTACCAGCACCGCAGTTAGCTGTGTGACCTCCAGCCTCTGCTCCTTATGTCTAAGGGGAAGGCTGGACAAGACGGCTTGTAGGAGCCTTCTAGCTCATCCACCTGACCTTCTGTGCCAACAGGGGAGGAAAGGCTTCTACTGACCTGGGTCCGCTGGTCAGAATTAGAGTCTGGAGAGACTGTGACCCCCTCCAGGGGACAGGTTCCCAGGCACCACCTGCACAGAGTCTGATTCTGTAGGTCTGGATTGGGGCCTGGGAGAATGTAGTTTCAACAGGGACTCCTGGTAATCCGAAGGCTGCTGGTGCACTGGCCTGCATTCCCCTGTCTTTGGGGACACTTTCTTTGGCCATAGTAAGAGATGGCCTCTGTGGAGTAGGGGGACTGTGGGAATATCCGTGGCAGCAATTCAGTTTTTCTTCTTTGGCACTTAATTAAGGCTCATCGGAAGCCAGGCGTGGTGGTGCACCTGTAGTCCCAGCTACTCTGGAAGCTGAAGTGGGAGGATTGCTTGTGTCCAGGAGTTTGAGCCTGCTGTGCGCTATGATTGTGCCTGTGAATAACCACTGCACTCCAGCCTGCACAACATAGTGAGACTCCCCATCTCTTAAAAAAAAGAGAAAAAAAAGACTCATCAGGGGCATAAGCAGTGGCAGTCAAAGTAGACCTGAACTAGAGCCAGGATTGCCTGCCATACATCACAGATGACTCAGGTGACAGTTCAACAAATGACTAGGAAAATGCATAAATGTGACACGACTCTTCACTCCATTTCCTTCCTACCCGCCTACCAGGTTTCAGAAACCAGCTCGTCTGACATTTCCCAAGTCCTGAGCTAGAACACTGTAATCTATGGATTAGACCAGCCCCGGGTAAAGAGGAGATGCCTTAAATTTGTCCTAGTACCTAGTCCCATTTGAAGGCCCCAGCTCTGAAAAACTCAGCCTCATTTTCCCTGAGCCTCATTCTCTACTGTAGGAATAGTTAACATTTACTAAGCAACTGTGAGGTGCCAGGCACTGTGCTAATTACTGCTGTTTTACAGATGAGGAGACTGAGGCACAGAGAAACTTTCTCAAGATCACCAATAAGGCAGGACCAGGACTTGAACCCAGGCAGTCTGTCTCCATATCCCATATTCTTTACCACCATCTCTTAGTTATTTTTAAAATCAGCCCAAGACCCTCAACTCTCAAATAAAAACAGACCTCAGAGTCACAGCAGCCTTGACTTTGAGTTTTTCAAAAAGCTAAAACTGCTTTACAAATATAAAATACAATTATAATTTAATCTACAAAATGAGCAGACATTTTGGTTACCAAGAAATTCAGGCAGGAAGATGATTTTGCTGAGTAAGAAGAAATAGGGTATTTAGTTCCTGGCTGCTAAGCCTGAGGTCACTTTTACATTGGATTGAAATTCAGAGACCTTGATTCTTGTCCTGGCTGGATGCTTTCTAGCGGTGAGGCCCTGGGTGAGTCTCTAGACTTAGTTTCTTCATTTAAAAAACAAGAGCACTGGGGCTAGATCATTTCCACATTGGATTCTAGCCCCACCAATCTAGAAATCTATGAGAGGCCATATCATGGTGTAGGAAGGACACAGGCTTTGGAGTGAAGGATGTGGGTTTGAATCTGCTTCTGCTGCTTGCTGGCCAATAATTCAGTACTTGGTAATTCCTGATAATTCCTCTGTTTCAAGCTTGTTTGAAGGATTAAACTAGCCAATATGTTCATTCACTCATTCATTCAATAAATATTTGAGGGTCTACCATGTGTCAGTCACTAGTGTAGAGTCAGTAATGAACAAAACAGACAAAGCTCTGCCCTCATGAAGCTCATGTTCTCGTGGAGGAGATAGATGGTAAACAATAAGCATGATAGATAAGTAAATACATTGTATGTTAGAAGGTGGCAAGTGCTATGGGAAAAAATGAGGCAGTGTAAGGTAGACACGGAATACTAGCAGTAACAATTTAAACAAGATGATTAAGTAGGTCTCTTTGAATACCTTTTTTTTTTTTTTTTTTTTGAGACAGAATCTCACTGTGTTGCCTGGGCTAGAGTGCCGTGGCGTCATCCTAGCTCACAGAAACCTCAAACTCCTGGGCTCAAGCATCCTTCTGCCTCAGCCTCCCAAGTAGCTGGGACTACAGGCATGCACCACCATGCCCGGCTGATTTTTTCTATATATTTTTAGTTGTCTGATTAATTTCTTTCTATTTTTAGTAGAGACGGGGTCTCTCTCTTGCTTAGGCTGGTTTTGAACTCCTGAGCTCAAACAATCCGCCCGCCTTGGCCTCCCAGAGAGCTAGGATTACAGGCGTGAGTCACCGCGCCCGGCCTGAATACCTTTTTTTATCCTTTAGAGAAGGGGTCTCACTATGTTGCCCAGTCTGGACCGGAATTCCTGGGCTCAAGGGATGCTCCCACCTCAGCCCCCTGAGTAGCTGGGGCTAAAGGTGCCTACTACGGTACCAGGCTCTCTTTGAGCACCTTCTGATGAAGGTAGATAGTGAGCTTTGTGGGTATGCAGGGGAAGACGTGACATGAGCTGACTTTAGTTTTTACGAGATCACTTTGATTTTGTGTTGAAAAGAGACTATGGAAGAACAAGGGTGGAAACAAGGACATCAATTCTGTAATAATCTAGGTCACAGATGATGGTGGCTTGGACCAGGGTGGTAGCAGTGAAGATGGTAAGAAGTGGTCAGATTTTGAACATTCTGTGAATAGGATTTCCAAAAAAATAGGATATGGCATGTGCAAGAAGTGTCAAGGCTGACTCCAAGATTTGTGACCTGAGAAACTGGAATGACAGAGTTGCCATTAAATGAGATGGGGAAAATTGGTGGGGGTGGGGGCAGGTTGTGGAGGGGCATAGGAGTTCATTTTGGAGCCCGGTGAGTTAAAAATGTCTACTAAATAGCCAAGTAAGGATGCTGAATAGGAAGTGGGACGTAGGAGTCTGGAATTCAGCATAGATATCTTGGTTGGAGATACATTTATTCATACTTTGCACACTGCAGATATTTAGTAAATGGTTGTTCTTTTTAATCAATATGCAGGCGCTATGGTATTTTCTCAAACAAAACCTTTTATCTGCGCATAGATCGTGGCCACTTGGTTTTACATTGCCTTCCTACACCTTTTGTTTAAGGGGTTGATTACTTGAGGTTGGTGGGATCTACTGAGGATGCGATGTAATTAGCTATTTTTATCTTGTTTTCTTTTTAAACTAGTCCTGCCCATGGGGGATGTGCCGATGTATGGTATCTCTGTTGCTGATACCGGAGCAGCCGTCTCTAGCATTTTTAATTCTCCAGAGGAGTTTATAGGCAAGGCTGTGGGCCTGAGTGCAGAAGCGCTAACAGTCCAGCAATATGCTGATGTATTGTCCAAGTGTTTGGGGAAAGACATCCGCGATGCAAAGGTGAGTTCTTATGAGACATCAGTGTGATCACAAAAGGCCACCTCGGTTAACATTCCACTAACTTATAAATTCTGGTACAGATTTAGGTAGGATTGAGTTTAGACTGTCAGAAGAAATTGAAAGTTCCAGTTCCACAAATATATCTTCATTGCTTGATGCAGATGAATCCCTCCCAAATGGCTTTATTTCTTTGGCTTAGGGTTAATCAGCTTGTTAAAGTAAGATTACTTTTGGGTGAAGAGAACTTAAAATCGGAAGACCCAGATACAGCTTTTTCACATGTGCTATCCCAGCCCCTCTCAGAAGTCCTCACTGCTGACCACTTCAGTCTGCCAGAGCTAGCTGGTGTGGGGCAAGGCACTAGCTGCGAGCTTCAGCTTCCTCATTTGTAAAGTGGGGAATGATAGTATCTATTTCAGGGTGTTCTTGTGAAAATTACAGAAAATACGTGTAATGGGCCTGCCATAGTATTTGGCGCATAGTGGAGATATATTGAGTACCTTTTATGAACCCAGTGCTACTTTAAGGAGTTTGCAGCAGAGTTGGGGTGAAAAGGTCGATGCACGTGAAGTCACTGTGGTCATTACAAGACATAACCCTGTAGGTGGTTAATTGTGTTGTCCAGACTGTCTGTGCTATTGGTGACCAGAGAAGGCTTCGTGGAAGAGGTGGGCTTGACTGGCCACTGAGGGAGGACAATACTGCATGCAGGTGGAGGGGAGCAACAGGGCTGGCCTGGCTAAATGCTACAGGAGACATGAATGAAGTAGAGGCAGTATAGGGAAGTAGGCAAATCCTGTCTCTGCCCTTATCTATGTCGGGAATCTTGGCAATTTACTTGATTTCTCTCAGCCTTGATTTCTTCATATGTTCAAAAAAGTTATTATACTTCCCTTGTAGGATTATTGTGAGGATGAAATGAGATACTCATGGCAGGTGCTTGGCACTGGATCTGGCACTTAGTAAGCCCTCAATAACTGATCATGCCACAAATCATGCAGGAATGGCCTTGACTAGAGTGTGGCTAGGACAGACTTCTTACAGAAAAGTGAGTCTACGGCCATACCACCCCTATTTTGTATGATTTCGGAAGCTAAGCCGGGTCGGGCCTGATTAGTACTTGGATGCGAGAAAAGTGACAATTGCCGATATTGGGCATTACCAGCCATTTTCCCAATCAGGTGTTCATAAGAGGAAGGAAAAAGAGGCCAGGCGCAGTGGCTTATGCCTGTAATCCCAACACTTTGGGAGGCTGAGGCAGGAAGATTGCTTGAGGCCAGGAGTTTAAGAGCAGCCTGGGCAACATAGCAAGACTCCATCTCTACAAAAAAGGAAAAGCAATTAGCTGAGTGTGGTGGCACATGCCTGTAGTCACAGCTACTCAGGAGGCTGAGGCAGGAGTATTGCTTTGGCCTGGAAATTTGAGGTTGCACTATTGCCTGAGCAACAGAGTGAGACCCTGTCTCTATTAAAAAAAAAAGAGGAAAGAAAAAGAGAACAGGCTGTTTTCAGGACACAATGATAGATTGAGTAGTTGCAACAGGGACCTTATGGCCTACAAAGCCTGAAGTACTTATACCTAACGCTTTAAGAAATGTTTTTCGACCCCTGTTCTAGAATGTTTCCTAGAATTAGGGATAGAAGGTTGGTTCCTCTTTGCATCAGCAGCTCTTGGTCCTTGAGTCTTGAGGGGATATCTAGATTTCCAATTCAGCTTCAGCTACTGGAGTTGTGAGGAGGTGAAGAGATCTTTTTTCTGGTAAACTACTGTAGGTGTCAATCTAGCCACCTGCAAAAT